GTGGACTTTGCCAATGGACTACCTAGAACAAAATTATCTAGAAGTTAAGTCTGAAAATGTCACAAAATTCTGCACGAGATGTAGTGATTAGCATCTGTTTAAAGTGATGGAAAAGGATCACAGCAACATAATATGTGCAATTATAGATCTGCCAGCAGAAAGCTACAGAGATAATATCAACGGGAGTGTAGCACTAGCAAATGATAACACTGTGTCGTTATTAGATAAATTCCAAGTTATAGCAAAAGCATTTATCTGAATTAAACAGGCAGACAAAGATCCTGAACAGGAAAGAATGGTCTTTTGAACATTGCAAAACAGTCAGAAATATTTATCAAAATATTTATCTTTATAAGGGGAATCCTTGCAACAAAGTTGCTCTTACTCATTTTGTCAAACAACAGCTTGCCTGTAGCTCCATGCAGCAATTTACAATTGTATAGCCCCCCTCTACACACCTGAAGGAGCTTGTATGTGGGACACCAGCGTAAGCATGTTTAATGTGAATACGTCTCCTACATCAGCCCAAGTTTCTGCAAACATCTATATAGAAAATTTAAAAATAGACTTTGAAACAGCTTCTTACATAAAATGTTTAATTAGGTAATATGAACTCCCTTAGCAGAATCTGCAGTATTTATGTACAAGAGGAAGGAGACCTTTACATTCAAAGAGCAGGAGACAAGTCTTATATGTACATGACCTTGGCCAAGAGATGTTTCACCTTGCTGTGCCTGAGTTTCCACATCTCTGAAATTGAGATGACCCAGTTCAGCAGGTAGAGGCCTTGTGAAGCTAAATTCACCAGTGTCAGAAAATCGTTGATTTCCCTCTAAGCAAACGTGAGTTATTCTTAATGTATAAAATACTTCAAAAATACATTCAGTCTATCCCCTAAAATTGTAGTTAGGAACACAACAGTAATCTCCAGAATCCTGCTGTGGACATAATGTCTGCGAGACTTACTCTACATTTTGGGTGCTTATTTAGATAAATCTTCTGCAGAACCTGTGCATTCCCAGGATTTGGTGTTCACCCCAGACAGTAACGGCTTTTTCCTGTCGTGATTATACTTTATTTCTTACCCCGGGCATAATAATCTTCTCTATATCTCCAAAGATGTTGTCCCAGCTGTCTGGGTCCATTGGGGCAGAATCCGGCAACTGGGCTCTCATGTAACCTGGCTGTACATCAGGAGTCACCCGTCTCTCTCTCACATTGCTCAGGTACTGGCAAATGTAATCCACCATCTCCTTCCCTGGAAGAGGCAAACCAGCGCTTTGAGTTCCGATTGCGGGAAAACTAACCAGTAGTACTAGCACTTCACGCAATCTGTCATTAGCATTGGACATGGCTTGGAATACTGCTCCCAGGACAGCCACAGGAACTAACCTTCCTCTTACACCCTACTTGTCCCATCTAATAATGTAGGGACACAGCTTCTAGAACAGGCTTCATGGGGACAGAACACATTCACAGCGTTATTTCAGTGTCGTCATTGAATAGTTCAAACGTACCTTTAAAATACAATCATGGTACAAGTACAGTTTGTTCGATTACTGATAGACAGATTTTCTTGCCTACAAATTAGCTGAAACTGCACTTCAGAGATTAAATTTTCATAATGCCCCATGCTTCCCTGTCGTTATAGCATAGCCCCATTTGCATCCTCTGAAAACCGCTGCACAGCTCCACACCTTTTCTCCACTTTTTAGGCAATCTCCTCCAGCCCTGGGACCAAAGTTTGCTCCCCATCTCCAGAAGTGTGCCAGCATCACTGAAGTTTCATGGTGTCAGCGGGGAAGAGCCGCTGTGCATAACCCCTTAGCACAAGTTTATTCAGAATCACAGTTTTGCAGCTTTCACACAGTATTTTAAATGTGAGACCAAAAAGCCTAAGTCATCCACTGACTCTAAATCCATTAATTTCATCTCAACCCTGGGACACATTTTTGTCTCAGCCTCAGCAGATCTAAGTCTCAAGGACATGCATGCAAATAAAGAGTATATAGCCCATCCTAATTTTGGGTACCGCTCCCAGCCCTACAACAGTTGAACTCCGTGAGCAAATGCTACCTATTTCCAAGAGCAGAGGATCACTCACCTCTCCGTCTGTACTCCTCAGGCTCCATACCGATTCCTTCTAAAAGCACCTCTTCAAACCTGGGCCACGACCTTTCAGGAGCTGTGGGCAGTTTGGTCTGGTGCCCTGCTAGCTGCTTCACCCTTTATAGCTCCCTCTATCTCTCAGACTCACGCATTCTGGAAAAGGTTTAACGTAGGCAGGTTATTGGTGAGTGTTTATCTATAAACTCCTCCCAACTGAGGGCTTTTAGTCTCTCGTATGTTCTCATCTGTGCTCTTTTGATGTGTATGATAGTGTATCTCTAAGAGGAGCTGCCTCTGCGCTAACCCTTCCCCATTTTCAAACAATCTTTCAGAAGTCTCACAGTAATCCATGTCACGAATATAAGACACATTAACATCAGACTTGTGGGGGAGAAAAAGCTCAAGAGCTTCCAAAACCAAATAAAAGCAGCCATGTTACTCTAGCACACCGAACCACTGCGTTAGCAGTAGTCATTAAAACAAGGCACCAGCACATAACAAATTTGACACTGCAGATGGGGACTCTTTTTTTTTTTCTTAAAGAATCGTAGGACTGAGTTTTCCCAAGAAGAAAGTACACCTGCATCCCCACAAGTCTTCAGTCCCTATGCTCTCAGTCCCTTGCTGCTAGAAGGAAAGGCATTACAACTATTGCCAGTTCCAGAACTGCAATACGAAGCAGCACGATCCTCTCTGTGGATTTCCTACCCTTCCAGATCCGACCAGGTTACACTGCAGGATGATGTTCCTCCACTGGTATCACCTTAAATTGCTGAGCTGGGAAAACACATTTTTTTCCCCCCACCGGGCTTGCTTTTCTCACGTATGATATGCATAAACACTGGGATTTGGCCTTGTATCTCCAGAATTCCTCCAAGTCCTCCACCTGGATCGCTCTCGGTTTGGAAGAACAGCCACGTAGATTCCCCCTTGTTCCAGTTTTAGGACCTGAAAACACATCCTGACCTATCTTTGGCAGCACGACCTTTGACACTGTACTCAACGTTGGGCGCTTATCATCTTCACCAGAAGGAACTCGCTTGCTCTACACTGATACCAGGCAGCCCTGGGAAAAGAGAGAGGTAGGACTTACGGACTAAGCACCAGAAAGAGAAGTTATTACGTAGTACAATATATGCTTGCCCTATTTTTGCTATACCCTGGGCTCCTGCTTAGGGCTGGCCCTGTTGGAGGCAGGATACCAGGCTAGGCAGACCCTTCGTCTGATACATGACAGATCTCATCATACCAAAGAGAACTGGCTGTCAGAGCAGCTTTGATTTTCTGCCTCATGTACTATAATGCAGCCTACGCGCTCTCATTATTCTAGAAAGTTGTTACCTCTTTCTCCACAGCATACTTTCTACAGAACAGTGTGAAAACCTTTCCTAGTTTCTGCTGCGATTAGATATTTGAGAAAGAACTGTTTCATAGATTGTAACAAAGATGCTCTGACACGTGCACATCAGATTAGTATACTGAAATAAAAAAAATTATAAAAAAGGCATTGAAAGAAGAGCAAGAAGTGCAGAAAAAACCCATACTACATGCATATTCATCTGCTTTATCTCACATTTCTCTGGAAACATTAGGAAAAAAATAACAAGCTGCCCACACACTTGACATCAATTTGTGAACCTCTCTTTGGCTTTACTGTAAATGCTACCATAAAGGGGCACAAAGAAGGCGAGAAGGGACTGGCATCAGGCACAGGACCAACTCAAAAAGAGCTGAGAGTTCCCAAAAACTGAGATTCTAGCTCATTACAAATAACTGATATGTTACTTTAATATACGGATGTCTGTTCAAAGAAAGCTGGCAGCTAATTACATTTATGATTTCAGTTTGGAACAGCAAATAAGGAGCAATACTTCTAACAGTGTTTTCAGAGCTAAGCTACACAACAAATATTCCATGTGACATATACCCTACGCCTTCGGCTCAAAGGTGATAGTTTCATCAGGTTGGTTTCTCGTTCTGTGCAGAAGAGAACAAACAGCAGGTCCCGTTCGGAACTAGAATAAAATAGGTGGTAATGAATTACAGGTAGGGTAAATATTGCTGGCGATAAATTTTTGTTATAGCTACCCCGCACTTGGAAGGATTTTGTTACAGACCATGAGGAATAGATTATTTGCTCACAGGAAGCAGAATGAATAGAAAAGGTTCTTTTCATTGTTTGCTAGAAAGGTCTGTGCCGTCAAAACCGTGGGAAATTCTCCATTTGGACGTGCACATTACCACTATCACTACTCAGATTAACGCCAAAATTCTTATCGTTATTAAGAGTTCACAGAGATTAAAGTGTAGTTACGTTTGTGGGATGTGAGGACACAAACGTCGTTTTGATCACAGAGTAATTCAATTGGAGCGATGCCTAACCAGCACATTTAACATGACTAACTGGTTCCTGCATTCGCTAGTGACATAATGGGTAGTTTCTGAAAAAAACCCTAAATTTTCCAGTTAGTCACAGCACAAGGCTTGCTTCAAGTCCTAGTACCAGCTGAGCATGATTATATCCTTGAAAATAATTCTTCTGAAAACCACCACCACAGATTTTCCATTTTTTATCATCTTAGGATTATTTTTGGGTCAAATTTGCCAATCGGGACCAAATTTGCCAAATTTATACCAATACTAGGCCTAATATTTAGGATTTTTTCCTAACTGCCAATTCTATAAACCCCAGTCAAAGGTTGAAGAAGGAAGATTTTACTTCGTATTGTATAATGCAATTCTCTCCCCACTCCTCCCTCCTACCTTTGAAGGCTATTCTAAGCCTAAAACTGTTTTTTCCTCTTTTTCTGAATGCCTAACTCAGCACAGCTTTGACCTTCTAATGCGCATACAAAACAACTGAAATGGAATTGATTCTACACTATATATATGTGGAAAAGATATTTAATTGTAAAATAGAAAAAGTAGGCCAGAGTACAGTTTTAAGGGTAATTCTTCTGTGTACAGTATAGGTAAACTAGACTTTTTGCTTAAGTTTATATAAACAAGTCCATAAAAGCAGTGAAACATGGAACAACAAAGCAAAGCACAAAGAGTTTTATCTTACAAAAAAGGAATCTGCACAGTAGTTCAAAATTTAATGTAACACAGCACTGAACAATCTTAAGGCAGCTCAGTCTAAGCACAGGACTAGAAGCCAGGAACTCCTGAGATCTATTCCCAGGTCTACCACGGATTCACGTGGTCTTGGGCCACTCATTTAACACTCCCTGTGTTGCGCTTATACCAGTTATAAAATTGAGACAATAACACTCACTTACCTGCCTCAGGCAGTACAGTAAGGGTTCTTTAAAAGATTTTACAACGCTCTGAAGATGTAACGTGCTATATAAGCCCTAAGCATAATAGATCACCGCACAGACACACACAAACACAGTATCACAGTGAAGAGCAATGATGCCAGGTAAGAGCAGCATCACTACAACATAAAAAAATTACTTGTCCAATTGCATAATTAAAATGCAAAAGTCGGTTTAGAAAAAAAGTATCACTGAAATGATTTCAAGGCTATTGGGGAAAAGAGATCAATAGGAATATTCTAAAAGAACTACTATTTGTGTTCCAGTGGAGACATTCTTTTCTATTCATTACTGAACTTTAAAACGTTTGTACAGGAAAATCGTAAGACACACGAAGTGAAGTTTCAATGCCTCCACTACCAAATTTTAAATTGCCTCTAATATGTAAATTAAGATTTTTTTGTTCTTTTTAATTACAAATTACATTCTTCCAAGAAATATACCATCCACAATAAAACTGGCTGCTAGCTTACTTCAAATGACCTATAGGCTAAACATTTTTCTCGTAATTTTTCTCATCTTTGCTGAAAAATACCTATGCAAGATGTATGTGTAGAAATTATAAAAACATGCAGCATATGTACAAACTGAAAAGTTTAAAAAATATTAGCTTCATATACATGTAAATCTACTTGGATATATCTGAAATTAAATATAAAAATTTCACCACCTAAAATAAAAAAAACAAACCCAAAAATGGTTTTCAGAGAATCTGAGACAACTACTTAAAGCTGTACAAAGATTTCCACCTGGAAATGTCTTATTCAGAGAAGTTTAAGTTGTTACCATGTAGAAATAACTGTTAATTCATTTTGTCACATAATTCTTTTTCAAGTTGTCAGCTTAAATCAACATCACCCTTAAAACTGTTCTGTTTTTCAGAAGTTAGATTCATACTAAAATCAAAAATTTCACAAAAGCATTGGCTTCTCGTGTTTCTGGATCCCTTCAAAAAGATTTATCAACTCATTTTGAAACTGTAAAAAAACCAACTATTTACAGTATTTCATTTTAAATACTTTTCACAATTTCTAAATTCAGAGTTTTTATGTTACAAGAAATTCATCAGAGCTCACGGCGTAAGTCCAGTTATCAACTTGTAGCTTCTTCTCTATCATGTAATCCTGTGTCTGTAACTATATAGCGTACAGTTCAAGATTGTACTGCAGGTTTTTGAAAGTAACAGGCTTTGCAGTATGTTCATTTTTTATTAAACAGCTTCTTTATTAGTCTGGAGGCGGTTCATTGCCTCTAACTTCTGCCGATAGGCCTCTGCTTCTTGTTCTTTCTTTAGAAGCTGCTGAAGATATTTTTGTGCTTCTCTGTTTGCCTCATCCAGCTGTTTCTGAAGAGTTTCTCTTTCCTATTAGAAACAGAACCAGCAATATTTTGTCAAATATGTATCAAATACAAGTTAAAATGGCAAATACTTTTCCTTTACATGCAGCTCAAGTGTAGAAACTGTTCAGTTCTTACTTGGGCAAACCTATATGAATGCTGCTGTGTAAATTACACGTAACTATCACACCAGACAACTCTCCACAATAAGGCTTGCAGTGTAAATATAGTAAACCTGAGTTTCCTTAGCTGCAAAGATACCAAGCAAGTCTTCATGGAAAAGAGTGAAATAAAAAAGTGGAAGCATGGTGATCAAATACTAACATAATATATTAACGTCTCCAATGATTCAGTTCCCTTTGTTGTTTTTTTTTTTTAAATTGGAATCCAATCTAACAGGATTGTCCCTTTCTGTTGTATTTCTAATCAGACAGTATAATGAAAAACTGTTACCTAACAGCAGTTTGCACTGGAAAGTGACAGCTGCCCAGTAACCGCAATATACACATAACTGGTTTCTAAATGAAGTGATTGGGAGTGATTGATACCGTGCAATCCAGAGGTGTAATTACATCCCCAAGGACACCACATTTTTATGAATTAACAGGCATTTAGCTAGGTAAGTTTTTCAATTCTAAAGGAGCAACTTAAGGCTCTATCCTGCATATAAGTTTCTCGGGGATGGCTATAAAATGGTTTCCAAGCAAAATAATATGGGAAATGCCACTTCCTGTGAAGCTGCCTTAGGAACTAAGGAGAATGTATTTCTATCTCCAGCGACGTAGGTACTGACATTTTGTTTGATGCTGCACTGAGCTCAATTGAAAAAGCAATTTGCTTGGAAAATAGTTTTGTTTTGATCTTCAACCAAATACCATCTCATTAAAGTGCATCATACTTTTATGAGTAAGGTAGTATTTGGTTTCAAATCATTCTTTCCACTGTAGTTGTAGTAGCCACAGGAGGGAGGTTGTCAGAGAAGCGAGCTATCTCCCAGAAAAACGAAACTCTTACCAAAACCTGAGACCCAGTGAAAATAAAGTTGCCTTTTCAACTTATTCCCATCCCAGCAGTTCAGTATCACATTCCCATTTAATACGTCAAACAGTTGTTAGAAGTTTCTCCCCCCACGCCCCCATAACAGCATCCCTATTCTTAACCTCTTTGATGCACTCACATATGTACATGGTCAGAGCCTGAAAATACAAAATACTCTGCCTCCCTTCTACTTGCTACTGTTCTCAGTGCTTGTCACAGTCACATTTAGCAGTCACATGCTGTGCTGAATGTGCTGGAATATAATGACATAGGTGATCAGATCATTGCTAACAGCAGCATCTGTATAGCAAAAACAACAGGTGAAGGAGAGAAGTTATTAACAGGTTATAAAGACTAGTTATAATACAGAACAGAACAAACCCCATTAAGTGCAACCTGATTTTACATAGGGCTTTAAGAGCTGAAGGAAGTTAGCTAGGGTTTGCTTCATTTGGAGCATATGCTGATAAAACGAAAGCTTATCTGATCTTGCTTACTTATCTGAAAAGGAAGTTCAGCTTCCACCTCTGAAAATCTGAATTCTGCTTTTTAAGCAACTGTATGAATGGCCAACCCATGTAGCAACTAGACTGACGAATGTCAAATGAACAGTAGAGCCTAGGATCTGAAAGGATCTGAAATACACCAATGATGTTCCAGCACCAGTCCAACCAAAACATACTGCTAGTTCTGTAAGTTATCTGTGTAGTTTAAGGGAAGCCAACAGCTTACATAAAACAGCCTCGTGGAGTAGAAAGTCAGTGAAAAGAGCTACAAGACAATTCTCAGGGAAGCGGTCAAAAGAGTTGATCCTGCTACACGTGGAAAGCAACCCTTCCCTCTTGAGGGCACTCAGCTCTGGGCTATACTGAGCTGGGCATTATCTATCTCATGAATTTGTCACATAAAAAACGACAGAAATCGACTACTGGCAAGAAGCAAAGCTGCTCTATCTACTGGGCTGCAGAAGAATAAGAACCACCAGTAGCTCACTGGCCAGTGGTTCTGCGATGCATTACAAAAAGCAAGGCGCTATCACTACTATGGAGTGTGTGCAGACTGCAAACACTTGGGGACAGAGAGGTTCTCAGATAGTCTTACGAGCATCTTATGAGTATTTCCCACAGAAGAGAGAAATAGAACCATGTAACCATAAGGAGTATAGCACATTAAGGAAGGGATAGAAAAAAAAGGGGGGGGGAAAAAGTCTTAGTGGCAGAGGCAAGAAGTTAAAACCAGTATCTACCAGACAGACTAGCAATTCAAAGCATGTAGATTAGTCCAGCAACTAATAGGTGGAGTTTTTAGACAGTCATAGTCCTAATGTAAACAGAATGAGTTAAGAAATTGAGGCCAAGTATACTGTCTAACTCGGCAGTGGAAGGAAACCAACGCTTCTGGAGGAGCAATGCAGATCTACAGTGGACGAGCAGTGAAAATCGGTTCCTTAACTTTGACATCTAGAATAGGGAGGACTGTATCTGGTCTATTAATGTCATCAAATCCAGAAAGTGTTCTTAGGGCATTCTTTAGAACACAACTGAAAGTGTTTAATTATCTGAAGTCCTTTCGTATCAGTATAAAAACCTACCCAGGTAAAAACAGAATTAGAGGATCCTGAGTGCTCTTGAGAAATCTTCCATTTTATCAGGGAATTTTCTTCATTACATGTAACTTTTCTTAACAGTCTATATATTGACCATAGGGACACCCATAACTAAAATAACCAAACCAAGCATTCTTTTTAACAACAGAAAAAGCAGGGATATGAATTCACTAATATAATTAATTTACAATTATGATTTTTTTTTTAGTCTAATGAAATTATTGTCCTGGTTCTAATGCGTGTCACCTTTCAAACATGCAACATGGGAAAGACAGTCAAATTCAAGAATGAAAATTAAAATCACTGTATGTTAATGAATTATGCATGAAAATGAAAAACAGAGTATCTGTGTGACAGGGGTTTTTTTGCTGCCATCCTATGTTTAAAATATCAAACTGTTTAGGAAAACTGCTATCACTCTTCAAAATGAGCTGAAACGTTTGAACTTAACAGACCCAAAAGAGAAACATCAAAAACCACCACTACAGCTCCTTCACAATACTTCCACAGGAAAGTTTGTCACCTCACATGAATGGGAGGTTGTTCAACTTAAAGACTTGCAAACTACAGTTAACTGTTCATACACTATGAATTCAAAACAGCTGAAGAAAGCACTCTTAGCCTTGAATCAACTCTTTATAATGAAATAAAGGAATGAATCACCAGTGAGGCAAAGAAACCAAACAATAAAGGTTTTCTACATTAAAAAAATATTTTAATGAGGGGAGGGGTCCCACTCCCTCCAAATTCAAGTATCTACCACCTTCTACGATGATGAAGTTTGAAGTGAACCGACTTTATGTGCACTTCTTTAATGTCCCTGTTACCAAAGTGAGGTAGCACCATACCCCTGTGAACCACAATAAGGCTCCTGAGGTCACCCGGCCTCCACACAGAGGCAGAGGTCTGCACGTGCATTTCCAATTGTACAGGCAGGGACAAAGTCAGTCATCAGAACTTGCACTTGAAAGCAACAGATAAAATAACTCATTTAAACCAACTTCTTTCGGTATTTTGAGAAACGTTTAAAATATATAATTGAAACTGGTAATCCCCTGAAAAGCATTATTTGTATTGTTATACCAACTATCTGTAATTAGGAACAGGTCAATTTATTCCTTAACCAATCTAGATTTGTTTTTTCCTTCACCTAACAGAATTATTAAAATACTTAAGGAAATGTAATTTCCTTTAGGAATAATTCAGGCAGATGTTTAAAAGTGTGAACAAAAGAAATGCTTTTATTGTAACAGTCATACATTTAAAAAAATGCAGCAAGAAAATTTCAACTGTCATGATAATCTGTAATGACCACAAAGCTGCACAGGCAAAAGTATTTGATGTGACAACTTAGGGACAGGGAAAGCAAGTGATGAAAGGTGGTAATCATCGTTACTAGACATGGAAAACACATAGCACATACTGTACAATAAAAAGTATTCAATTAGGCACAATTTGATAATATGAACAGAAGTTGGAGAATACAACCTTTGATAAATGAAATATCATGGAGTTGACAAAATGAGAACTTACAGCCTAGTCAAGGCAGACAACAATTTTCATAAACTTTTGACCAAAACTGGTCAGTACAGTTAGAAGTAACAGAAGAAGGAATGAGATGGTTGACCTATCGTGGTTAATATAAAAAAGCTATAATTTTAAACTGAACATAGAATAGAAATATCTATTTGTCATATATAAAAAGAAAAGCTCTCTCATGTTGTTAGGTCTTCTGCACTATAATTTTAAAAAAAAACAAACAGGATGGTGCAAAGCTGTGTAATAGTAAACTGCTCCAGAATTAAAAAAAAAAAAAAAAAAAAAGGGACAGAAAAATTGACAAACACAGAATCTTACTGTTTCACATTTCCATTAACAGTTAGCTAGATATCATGAATGGAAAGGAAACATCGCTAAAAATATCATCTCACAATCAGGACAAGCATGTGGTCATAACAGAAAGATGAGGGTACAGTACCCCATTCACTGCTAGCGGAAAGAGTCAAGTTACTCGATAATATATCGGTACCTCGTTTTAAAAACTAGCTAGTGATCTTAAAGGAAAAACAAAAAAAATTAAGTTATCAAATACTTAAACAAGTGTCACTTTTCCGTGCACAACCAGAGGATGAAGCAAACAGCCCTCCTATATTCTCTTTTTACAACAACTTTGTAAAAGATGAATTCCAGTAACAGGGGAGACTGAACAAGTTATTGTTTCACACACTTCATTCTGTGGTAACACAGAAATTAAACTCTAGAACAACACAAAAAAACACAACCAGATACTCAGTGATGAACATTCTGGTTAACACATATCACGTAATATACTCCTTACTTCTATTTCTGCAGACTCCACACGATTTTCAACAATCTCAATGCACTGTCTCTTCACTGGCGGTTCTTCGCTTATCACAGTTTCTTCAGCAATGTCTGTTGCTGGAACTGTTTCTACTGAAAACATATTTGTACATATAAATACATTTACTTCAAACAATATTTGCACTATATAAAATTCATATAATTAAGTAATTTTATTAACAGCAATAAAATGCAAAGACTTTTCCCTTATGAAAACACAACTATACAATAAAGTCCATTATAAAGTCAGTACAGGGAAAATTTCCTAAAAACTTTCGCTGCTTGTATGCTACTAAAGAATTTTAAAATTCTTTGTTGCTGACGTCTACAGTAGTTAGCTGTCACTCTGGAGTATCATTGCTGTTTTTCAGAGTAAACAGACATGGAAGTGAATTGCAGCAGAGCTACCAGTCTGTCAATTCTGTAACTTATGTAGCAGACCATGTCCTTTATAATGTTTCTTAAGCAAATACTAAATACAAAACTGGCTTTTGATTTTGATTAATTAGAACACTTTAGGTAATCTGAAAATCCAGTGGTTAACAACCTTGGAGGAGAAAAAATTAGGGATCTAAAGAAATTCATACTCTAATTTACTCATGCAACCATCTGACATAAATGTTGTGACTGTCACTTCAATTACTACCTACGCACATTCATGCTTTCTGATAACTAGCTGTACTTGGTCAGACAGACTGTGAACCAAATCATTTGTCTCCGGTGTACAACTCTTCAAGCTCCACACTGGGAGTCCTCATGAAGAAACCAGAGAAGGAATAATTTTTGTCTAAATAGTAGTGGCAGAGCATCTTTAAAAAAAAAAACACACCCAACACACACACACAGAAGGAATAATTTTTGTCTAAATAGTAGTGGCAGAGCACCTTTAAAAAAAAACCACCCAACACACACATGTCACAAAATAGCACTTATTACACCAGCAGCTTCCACAAACAAAGTACATATGGCTTCAGGACAATTTGTGTCACCCTGGCTTCACTGGTTCTGCCACTGCTCCTCCAAAACCTCAAGCACATAAGACTTGGCTTTTGTTATTTTTGTCTAAATAGTAGTGGCAGAGCACCTTTAAAAAAAAACCACCCAACACACACATGTCACAAAATAGCACTTATTACACCAGCAGCTTCCACAAACAAAGTACATATGGCTTCAGGACAATTTGTGTCACCCTGGCTTCACTGGTTCTGCCACTGCTCCTCCAAAACCTCAAGCACATAAGACTTGGCTTTTGTTCTGTTAAGAACACATTCCATGGGACTTGCACAGCTTGCTTCATGCATCAGATTTCTAAATCTGAGCTTAATCTCTGTGCAATATTTCCAGCAAGGCAACAGCGTAAGTATTAGAAGAAGGCTTTTGTTTTACTCCATCTTCTAGCGTTCATAACAAGTTGGCAAGAATCAAGCTTACTGAAGGCAAAGCAAGTAGTTATCAACTTTTCCCTTCAATGTCCCATTTCTCTTCCATACAGTTTAGTAATTCTTCCATTCCTTCTCCTAATGCAGAGACTCAGCTGACGTGGTAACTCACTGGCCTGCAGTAGCTCATGTGTCTGAGCCTTTTGCAGTATAACAATTCAAAGATGTATTTAAATTGGTAATTACACAAAATTGTCCAAGCTATTTGCACCCAACAATTTGTTATTATTACTGTAACTAAAATAGTTCCTCAAGCTCAAACTGTACAAGTTTCCACTCACCTTGCTGTCCATCTGGCATGGTCACAATGATTGGTTGCCCTATTCCACTGGTTGGAATCGAATGCAGATTACCAAGCTGAATACCGTCTGTAACTATAGTAATAACTTGCTGACCTCCAGAACTGACAACTTGCTGAATAGCACCATCCACAGATTCTGCAGTCACAACCTCTTCTGTGGCCACAACTATCAACAGATTAGTAAAGGAATTAAGTCAATTTATAAATTAAGCTTTATGATTTCAAATGCATTTTGGTACAGCTGAGAAAAAATTTCTTCTGTGTCTTTTAAAATTTGACCCCCACCCCCCAATGAATGCATTACTACGTATTATATTGTTAATAAAAATCTTTCACCAGGCCAACACAAAGCACTAACATTTTGAAATATACATGCAAGTCTGTCCTGGTTTACCTTGCTCAATATAATAATTTTTTTTATTTAGCATGTTTCGTAATAGACACACCCCACTCAAAACTGATGCTTTGGGTTCACTGTTAACATGGCAGCAAGAACAAGAGTTGTTTTTAAGAACACAAATAACTTTTCCATTGTACACAAGCTGGACTAAGTCACACTAACAGCGGAATAAAAAAAAAAATTAAACTTGAAATACTAGCTTGAAACTACTCCTCAACCAGTGCCTTGCCAAGTGTACCTCAGGACCCAGCCCTGATTTCTCTGCTTACCGTAATGGCGTTCAAGACAGTAACAGACTGAAGGATCTCTAGAGAATCTTAAAGTTTTGTCTGTGCTACATGGGTACTTCACCCCCAGCCACAACTTTATTTATTATACAAAGTATTAAACAGGACTAAAGGAAAAGTTCTGCCGAGTTGACATTTTTACACCTTTGAAGGAGAAAGATAAAGCTAAAAAAGTAAAATAAACGTTCTATGTATATAATTTTATAGGTAAAAGTAAAAAATCCCAGCTCAACTAAATATTTCAAATTCATGATTTGATAATGAGTATACAGCAGTGAACTCTCACCGTTCTATATTACATCTATAAGTCAAGGTAAGATAAGGGAAAGACCGCATTCAGAACCACAACACATACCACAGCTTGCACTATACACTGTAACTGGGGTCTCACACTACCACCCTTTTTTTTAAAAAAAAAAAAAACAAAAAAACCAACCAAGATACTGAGACAAAGAGCAAGATCACTAGTAGCACAATCAAAGAATTTCAAGCACACTAGCTCTGTATTTTATTTTCAATTTGTCAGGGTAAAAGCAAAGCCTTTGATTTAAATAACAAACATTAGACTGCTTTCTATCTACATAGATGAAATTAAAACCCTATAGACTGTGTTGTGATGCTCGAGATGAGGGAAGGGAGATAAAAGATGAAAGCTTCAGGGTTTTAAGTTAATTACAATATAAAACACACAAAAATCACTCTGTAGTTCAAATAATGACTGCAGTCATTGCCTTCTGAAGATCTTTATGTTCAGAGATTACTGTCCTACAGCACTGCTTAAATATTCATAGAGTGTTTATTCAGTAAACCAAAACAGTAAGTCCTACATGAATAAGTGGTGTTGTATTGAACTTGATTTGGCTTCCAAGTACAGGCTCAGCAGTAAGACAGACCACTGTCACCAAAAATTCCAAGTTGCAAGTGCCAATACTAGCTGCTATGGCAAACAGCTCTGATCTTTCAGTTTCAAACTCAACACTGGACTTTTAGTTCTGGAAGGAAACATTATCAGGACTTCTTCAAACCTTTTCTTGAAAGAAAAACGCAGATTTTGTCTAAAACGAAGTTATTCTATTTAAAAGAAAAGCATCCTCATAAACACGGCCCTTATTCCTCCCTTGCTCTCCTTCCATATCTATATCCATATAATCACTAGTTACCACACTACTTCATATGCCAAAGGAAAGCTGAAGTCATTTAAAACAGCAGCACTATTATTTTCAAGAATCTCTGTATTAACATGCATTATTTTCTTCTGCAGTGTATGTGGGGGGAGAACACCTGCACATGCAGTAAGACATATGCCTAATTCCAACATAAGCACACCAAAACCTGCATTCTAAATACACATCTTAAACCGGATTTTTCTCTAATCCAACTCTGAGTTCCATACATACGTACAAATGTGGTGTGTAATGTAACATCCATGTCCTTATATACACTTCATTTGAGTAACAATTAAAAAAAGCATGATTCTATTCAGCTCCAGTGAGAAGGACCTTTCTTTTGTTTCACAAAACAACAATTAAAAAAAGCATGATTCTATTCAGTGCCAGTGAGAAGCACCTTTCTTTCTTTTGTTTCACAAAATTGATGTGGTTTTAACTGTAAGACATGAGGAACTAGGGGGAAGAGATCAGGATAAAGTTAACTTGAAAGAGGAGAAAAACCTAGACAGAGACAACATCAAAGGCAGAACTTAAGTGCTTTGTCCAAGTTTATACAGTCTTAAATACAGGAGGCTAAATCCAAGGTAAGAGCCAAAACCAGAATTCTCAATCCTACAATTTTTGACAGTATATAAATGGATATCTTTTACAAGATAAGCAGAGAGAAGGGGGGGGGGGGGGGTTGTTTTTTTTTTTTTTTTCTTTTTTTTTTTTTCTTTCTTCTTCGAACACACTTACTACTGATGCACAGGTGATAAAAAGCTTTTGTATTCTTTACACTTTATAAACTATGAAAGGAGTAAGAACCCAGGAAATAATTTGCAGACAGTAAGATGCTGCAAGATTGCCCACACATCTGCATAAAAATCAAAGCAGAAGAACTGAAATAAACAGGAGGGTTAGGTATGATGCACACTGCATTATTAAAGGTGGGAAGCTACTACATCAAGGCTTCAAGCTTATTCCTTCCTGCCTGCCATCTCCTGCCTCCTCTCTAATAATTTTTATCTTCAGCGGTTTACTGACATGTAACGTAGGTTATGCTGCACCACTGCATGGGCAGGGCCACAAAACATGAGAACGCTCAGTTAGTTACCAAAGTCTACCTACTACTGAGTCCTGGATACACCTTTAATGCTCCATAATCCCATGCAATCCCTTCTCGAGTTTCTCTCTCCTACAATTAGATCTGAGTTTCAATGAAATATATTAATTGATTGAAAACATCAGCAGCTTCTTCTGTAATGAAAGGCACTGCATTCTGGGTTTGAATCATCCACTTCACTTGCAATATTTAATGTCATAAAATAGTATAGCTGTACTTGGGTACTGCTTTGAGAAGTACTAGAAGAAAAGAGCCGTATTAAGAAGAAATCCTGCAGGACTTCAAAATACTTAGAGATGAAAACTCAGGTATACGTTGGGAGGCAGCTGTCATGCCAGCAAGTCTGAGAGTACAGATCTCTTCTATATTTTCAGTGAAAACTGTGTCCTTAAGAATGATGTCATCTCTAGAGCTGAATTCTGTGAGAATTTTTAAGTACCAAAGACTTCGGCCACGCAAAGCATCTCAGTTCTGTAAAATTTATCGTACTGACCATCACCAACAAAAATGCAAAATAAATGCATTTCTTTAGAAACGTGTTCAGAAAAATTCAGGTTACCATAAGCATCATAAATCCTTGATTGACAGAGGGTTGTTGCTCTCCATAGTGATCTCCAGTCACTAGCTTTGAAGTCAGGCTCATCTTGCTACATATCACATCACTACTCAGTGCTCAAAATCCCAAGCTAACTTGGAAATAAGGCTACAGTGCTGCATGTCAGTATAATAAATACTAAATAAACAAAAAAGCAATCTGGCCTACCATAAAACTCCAGTAGCTACAGACACACTGCCTGAGAAAACTGGGGAGCAACGTATGCAAAACAGCACTGGGCAAGTAAAGTAAAAGACTTTCAGAATAACAGAAGTTTTTATTCAAGTACACCATATAGCCTACTTCGGAGACAAAAACTAGGGATTTGTGTGTCCCAAAGCTAGCTAACAAAGAATTAACATAGCACTTGACCTCCTAAGTGCTAGTTTTACCCAATTTTTTTTTTATGCAATGGCAAGATATTAACATAACACTGTAATTGGAAAATATGATCTGGAACAGAAGTTTAGTGGCATCCTCTTTTAAAGTAATTTTCAGTAATTCAGAAGCTTTTGATCACTTTTAAACTTTGTTGTAGATGGTATTACAACTTGCTTGAATTATAAAAGGAGGTCTCTTCTTTGCTTATATCTCTCTTTCTCAAACCTGTTAGTAGTAATGACTAGTCTTTATAACCCACTTTGATTATAAGACTCCTGACTGCCATTTCTTTCTTCACTTTGCATGTTGTAATGAACAAAAGTGAAAAAGTACACAAAGCAAGCACCACATTACTCAGAAAAAATGGAGAAAGATATCCAGGGCAACTTGCGGAGTATGGAACCTTGACCAAAGTTTTTTTCAGACAAAGCAGTAACTGGCAAAGATCCACGGGGCAGGGGTGAAGTGGTTTTGCGTTAAGAAAGAAGAATGCAAAACTTGGGACCTAGGGGCAATAGAATCCCTTGTGCCTTTCCGGCTTCTTGTCATGGCCTAATGGAACAAGGGAGCATGCATACAGCTGCAGTGAGGGGTGCAGGCTGCTTCTTCCTAGGAGAACTATAACGTATTGCTAGGCTTACGTTTACCTGAAGTGCCACAACAGCATACCAGCCTGACGTAGGACATACTAACCGCTACGTACTGTTACAAATGCAAGTAGAAAGCCTCAATGTTGAAAAGACGACCCATAGACATTCTAGCGGGCAAAACGCACACTAAGATCACCAAATATTCTTGTGCTTTTGGGTGAAAGATTAAGAAAACTGCTGACAAAGTATATGCAAACAACATTGGGGGCCATTTCCCAATATTTAACAGAAACAAACATTCAAAGAAAACATTCTCCTACCAAATGCAACTAGACTGCATGTAGACAAAGACGTGAATTCAATCTCCTGAATTATGCTTGCTTTCAGCAAGATCAATGCTACTCAGATTAGGCACAGATATACCAGTTGTGGTCAGAAATCTTATTAAGAAATAATTGCACATATGAATCTGGCAACCTTCCAGGTGAAAGTAAAGGAAAAATTTTGTTCATGCTGAAAAAAGGAAGGAAGGTTGTCATCTCATTTCTGTATGCACTGCATCTCCAAAAGCACCAGTTAGGTACTTTTAGTTTATTAAATGAGGTTAAATGACTTAGCTTTCTAACCTGGTGTTTCTGAAGAATTAGACAGCGGAGCTGATGCTTCTGCTAAAGCTGCCAATGTGGCTAATACTGATGTCGATGAATTTCCAAACTGTACAGCAGACACTCCTGTTTCATCTAGTAGGATGAAAAATAAAAGTTGGCTGATAAATTTAAAACCAGTGAAGTCCCTTTTATTATTATTATTGCACTGAAGCTTCTAACACACACTCTGTTCTCAGCAACATTCTGCTAAACCAAAGTGCTATTCTGAAGGCAAGTTTGTTAAGCAAATACAACTTCTGATAATTTATCTCTGTGAAGACTGTCGTTTTAAGTACCTAGATATTTACAACACATAAAAAACACTGAAGAGAAACATGGTAACTACTCTATTCTTACCACTGGTTTTCCTCAAGCCTTTTCCCTAAATGGTGAAAATCAATTAAGGTATAAAATCCCAGTAGCTATCCTATAGGCATCTAAATACCTGTTCCATTTGATGTATTTGCAGAAGATACCAGACCTGTTAGGTTCACCACCCCTCCAGGTCCGATGATGAACTGTGGTGTTGCTGCATGTATCGTCACAGTGTCCGGACTCTCTGGATTCGTATTGATTTGGTTCTGCATTGCAATCTAGGAGACAAAGGTAATAATACCATTCCAATTGTAGGTATAAAGAAGTTATGTACCTTTTAAGAACTAGAATTATTGCACATTCCACTCAAACAGGGAGGATCTCCCTCGTTATACCCATGCAATACACACACATCATGTCACATCTTGTACTCTGTGTAAGTACATGAGAAACTTTTTTTTTTGGCTGAAATCTAAAGACAAAAAGTCTGTTGAAGTGAAAAAGAATGACACACCACTACTTCTTCTTACCATTTATTGTAAACAAAGAGGACCATATAAAGACAAGGCCCTTTTGTAGATATGCACGCTCAAGTATCTAAAATAGAGGCCTGAAGAACCAGGACTGCCATGGCAGCTACGTGCATGAAAATCAGCTCTGACAGCTTAGTAATTGCCATGAAGCGTAGATGGCATTCTTCTTTTTGTCCTTCTTTGAATTATTATTGACTTTTATTTACTATATCCTTTCTGCAATGAAGAGGAGGCTAAAGGAACAGACCAGAAGTTCATACAGTTCAAGATGTAGGGGAACAACAGATTTATAACAGTGGCATAATGGCAGTTTTCATTTGCTTTCTATTCTTTTCTCTTCTCAATAATGCTTAGCACTTAGTTCCATGGAAATGGGTGCTCACTGTTCAATAGTGTTCTTAAAGTCAAACTATCTATTACAATCCCGATCCCACTCGCTTCTCCAACAATTCAATCCTAGTTTTTCTAATTCTAGAAAAATTGCCATCTCTCCTGATCTCCAATTGTTAGGAAATTAATATCTATATATCAAGCTAATTGAACACTAGGGTATAGTCAAAACATATTGGTGGAGCAGGGAGTTAAGTTTTACACCTTGCTTGTGAAGACTCCACCTAGTTCTGTGTACTACAACACTCAAATTTAAGAAAATAAAGGATACTTATCCTTGACTTTGTAGGTGGTGAAAACACTCTTCCGCCAACTAATGTTTACTAACATTAATCTCATTTCCATGTCATGAACTAGGCTGGACTTTAGCATTATCAGTCAATACATGGTCTCACAGCTGCTATATTAAAAGCTTAGTTTACCCCATGTGTAAACAAGTACTTTGCTTTAAGTTCCCTTAACGTCATGAATCAAAAGTTACCTGTAATATTTCTGCAAGGTCTTCATTTCCATTGTCTACTGCAATATCTAGTGCCGTTTTGCAAAATTTACTCTGAGCATGAACATCTGCTCCGTACTTTATTAAGAGTTCTACAACTTCTTGGTGGTTATGTTCAGTAGCCCAGTGAAGTGCAGTCATTTTGAGCATGTCCTTCGCATTGACATCAGCACCGTGCTACAAACAAGATCATCGCACAAACTATGTCATTAGAAGTATATGAATTAAATAATGCTGGTCACAGAGTGAAGCCCAAAATTGTCTTTCTCCAGCAGTAATGTCCTGTTATCTTACATTTACAGATTTATTAAAAGTACTTCAATCTAACTACCAAATAAATTATTTATCTCAAAGGATTAAAAGACTCTAAAACATAACATGCCTTGGTTCTAAAAGTTGATACTCACACAATGTCAAATTAGGAAGTAGTCTTATTTTGAAACAGCAATAAATAATTCACCTGAAATCATGATGATTTTAATGCTGAAATACATTAGTTTAACAGGAAAACAAAGCGCCCAATGCACACAGTATAAATATTCATATCATTTCAACGTTGGTTTCATGACTAAAAGGAAGTTGCAAATATTTGATCATAAACCATTGTTATATCCCTGCCTCAGACATTGTTTCAGCAGTCTTTACCTTAAGTAAGACTTCTACTATGCTGGCATGGCCTTCTGATGCTGCCATATGTAATGGAGTTCTGTCCACTTTGGTTCTGGCATCCCGACTTACACCTGCTCGCAGCAACACTTCTGTTGTTGAGTAGTGTCCATACTGTGCTGCAAGATGAAGTGGAGATGTTCCCAACTGTAATGTAACGGAAAAAGTGGAGTTTTAACAGATGTCAGCATGAAGTATTCCTTCTTATTCTGCAGCTATCAAACTCAGGTGTCAGGCCATCACTTCAAAATCATTTTCCCTTGCAGTCTCAAGGAAAGAAGCTGTCAGGGATTTTACAGACTATGAAGAGAAAAAAAAAAGTTGGGTTTTTTTTTCCCCAATAATCACAACACACTGAAAACAGCTCACTGGAAGCAACTTTTTGAGGTCTGTGCCACGTTTCTTCTGTCTTTGAGGTGTGATGTTTCAAGGGGCCTAACCCCATTTTTAGTGTTGGTCAACACATCATACCAACATTGGAAGGGACCTCTGGAAGTCATTTAAGTCCAATCTCCTGCTCAAAACAGAGTCAACCTGAAAGTTAGGTCACTAAGCAGATTAAGGCTCTTAAGGACTTGTAAATACCCTAGAATTTTAGGTACCTGACCTCCCTATACAACCTATTCAAAATAGGCACCTCCAAAAGACAACTCAGAGCCCCTGTATCAGGGAACTCTCAGCTGCACATATTAGGTAGTTGGGACTGCTTTCTTAATTCAGAACTCTTACTATACTAAATACATAAACACAGTAACTAGGAGGATGATTGCTGCTTTCTCCCATTAACCATTCCGAAGTTCATCTTAAAAGCCACCAGAACAAGCTCATTCACAGTCTGTTACTAAAATCAATGGGAGGTCATTTGAAGAAATTTTAATTTTGAATTAGCCATTAGATGATGTGACTGCAGAATTCCAACAAGAAACTCCCAAGGCTTGCAATACAAATGCTTAATTGTAATAATCCTATTTTGTTCTTCAGGTGAGAAAAGTAAGAGGATTTACCGAACACTGCAAAAGTTTTCATTACCCAATCTGTGGTAAAAGGTGCTCCATTTGCCATCAAAATGCGAACTTCGTCATCTTGACCTGCTCGTGCAGCTTCTAAAAGTTTCTTTCCCAAATCTACTAGTGACATCTAGTGAAGGACATGAAGGAAGAAAAAATAACATTAATATTATTTTAAGTACACAAACACCGCTGCTGGTTTTTTTAATTATTATTTCTGAACTACTCTGAAAAGTTCAAAAACTGGAGTTGGTATTTTAGCCACGAGAAGCAGCTTTTATTGATTGCAATAAGCAGCTTGATTTTAGAATTATTTTTGTCAGCCAAACAGAACTGACACTGGGGTGAAGATTTCAGTAATACAATGCTGAAACCATAGCAGCTGCAAAGTTATATCAAACTAAATTTAAACTGAACTGGATGCACATTTCTTATAGCAGAAAGTGGTTTAGAAGCTCTCACCTGATATTGCAACCTGCTGCAGCTTTGTCCAGCTTTCAAGTGGTACTACGTCATGGCTGCTATGTCACACGCCCAAAGGCGCTACATTCACTTATCCAAAATGCCCATATGTATTTAAGAGGTACCACTATGTAAACGCCTTTAGATAGATATGAAACACAACACCTTTCTGACATCTTGTCCATCACTATCAGTTCATTTTGTTCACCCTAAAATATAATTTCTGTATTCCTAGCTACAAAATGATGCAATAGGCATATATTATCTATTTGCATCAGATATATGAACTAAAATGTCTGCCTGAAAACAAACATTACTACCTGCTTCAACTGTCTACAGTTACTAAAAACATGTTAAGTGCAAAATTTTGAGACATGACTGAGATACTAGCTGAAAAACTTTCACATCATCTTTAGATAATCACCCTTTTACAACACCCAAAGTTCCATATAATACAGAGCACGCAAAACTGTATGTAGACAAATGACACCTATCTATGTTTCTGTTGCATCAAAGTCTTCCTAGTATAACATTTTTTTAAAGCCACTCTATTTCATACTTGCCCTTAAATTTGTTCAGTAAAAGGAAAATTTAGAACTAAAACATAACTCACGCTACTAGCCAAAATGTATCATTAACGTTTTAGTCCTATACCTATGTTTTCCACTACCAGGATGCTAAGAATGGAATTACTTTCATCAGTTTGTTTCCAGTCACAAGCAAAGTTAAGCCTGTATCACTAATAACAGCAGTTGCAAGGCCATGCAGCCATTTTACTACAAAAATTTAGAGTGTATCAGTTCAAAAACAAATCCCAATAGGATAATTTTTTATCTCTTTTCTTAAACATACACTTCTATCACAAAACCAACATATTTAGAAAGTTCTCTGTACCTGGCTCAACTGGCAAAATCTGTGTGGTATATTGCTCAATAAGCTGAAAGCTATTGACTTGCAGAAATTAGGAAGATGGAAATACTGCAAATGCAGAACTCCAACATGTATCAGTAGAGCCATGAACTGGAGCAGATTACCTCTTTGTCTACAGAACTGACTGCAGGCAGCAATATCCCCTTCACCAAGATAATACTCCATTTATGTCCATCCTTCTAGTACACATGGACATGTTGATTTGTCTCCAGCCAGAAAAGGGAAGAGGAGCAGGAAGGTGGCAGGACAAGGACAATGGAAAAAGGAAGGAAAAAAGGAGCACAGAATCAGATGCAGAGGAAGGGCCAACAGCTGACTCTCTTCCATAAAGAAAAAGGGCAAAAGAGAAACAGGAATAAGAGAAAATCTACTATCCCCATTAAAGGGAGACACTAGGAGTAACGATATAAAACAATAATAGGACAGAGAGGGCATCTGGCGAGTGCAGCAGTGAAATGAAGGAATACAGCACTCTCTTCATATGGCACCCTTTTTTTTTTGGCGCGGGGGGGCATGTGTGGCAATTTAAGAAGGAAAAAAGCACACACAGACACACACACACTTTTTCTGGTGGTCTAATACCACCACAAAGTTCTCAGAAGCAAAAGGAAAGCTGGAACTTAATGCAAAATACTGAAGTTAGGAACTAATTCGGAAAGACAACAATTCATTTTCCTTATATTTATTATTGTTTTAAACACCAGTAGAGAAAAAGAACTAATAAAGTAGTCTCCTTTCGGAATTACAGAATAATTGAGGCTGGACAGGACCTCTCAAGGTCACCTAGTTCAATCTCCCAGTCAGAGCTGGCCCAACGGGCTCAGGCTGCGCAGGGCTTGGTCCCGTTGAGTTTTGAATGTCTCTGTGGATGAACATCCCACCACTTCTTCAGCCTCATTCCAGTGTCCGACCACCCTCGTGGTGAGACCTGCCTTCTGTGTATACCTGTCTTTCTCCACTAACAAAAAAGACAGCCTTGATAACAAGCTTATACTTGATGTCTGTTAGACAACAAAAATAGGTGAATTAAATTAGTCTGTACATTTAACAGCTACACCTATTCAGAACTCACTGACCACATCTATACTGGTGAAATAAACGGGAAAGTTGTTACCAAAACCCTATGCAGCAAAAAAATTTCAATTATGATGGCCTGCAAAACACAAATCTCACTCCCAGGAGATGTTAGGGACAAACTTCAGCCTTAGACCAACGCCTTTTCAGAGTCTCTCTGAACCACTACTGTTGAACACACTGTCAGAGTGACAGCACATCAGTTCTCATCTCAATGCAAAACTAAACAGCATTGTACTACACTCAATAAGAAATGTTCTAATCAAGGAAAAAGAGGGACATGGAAGATCATACATGACGTAACCTTCATTACCATGTATTACCTACATTAACCAATACTCTCTTGGTTGATATAAAGTGTTTGTATTTTAAACAAGAACAGAGCATCACAGAAGTTTACGTATGTTTAATGATGTAGAATTTTAACTTCAGTTAAAACAACACACATTTATTTTAGAAATGAAGTAAAAGTTTCAGTTCTCATAGGGTACTTGAAAGCATGCTTGGGCCATCTAGTGGAAGAAAGTTAAAAACCTAGCAAAATTACACTTGAATTCAAAAATAAAAATCACATTGTATGTCAACAATGCACTAACAGCAACTGAAGAGGCCTTTCCAACAAAACACTCATGCGCTTTTAGTCACTTTTAACCAATGAATACTAGCATTCGTAAAATTTCTCAAGAGTAGTCAACCCGAAGCTGATTTCTACTTGGCAGGTCATCCCAAGGACCAATATTGTAAGGTCAGGAAACCCTTGAGTAATAACATGCCCCACACTTCCCCCCGTACTCTTCCACTGCTACTACTGGGACATACTGAGAAGGGTCTGCCGTGTCAGAATTTCCCTTTCTTCCCTTTCCAGAAAAATTCTTCAGCTGCTCTCCTGAGATCAGTTAGTCACACAATAGCACAATGATACTATGAAAAGCAAAGTTCTATATATAGTACAATAAAATATGTTTAAAATTGAAATAATATTTCCATTTCAAAGCAGCACTCTTAGTTCAGTACTGCTGCTACTCCATGTAGTGTTACAAATCAACTCTGCTGAACTGTGTCAGAGGTGCTCTTCAGTAACTGTGTCATTTCCATCAGGCTTGGCTAGCACAGCAGCTGGGTAATGCTTTATAAGAGGATTCTTTCAGACAATAAAAACATCCCTGGCTCTAAAATAAAGTCTTGAGACTACTATAGTTATTCTTATGGCAATCTGAGTATGTTTTCAGACTTCTAACAGCTCCTACACAACTGTGTGAACAGAGGGTTTTGTCTACAACTGAGTAAATAGGGAAGAGCTTCTGCTGGGTTTGGACTTCTTTGCATTAACCACCTCCTGAACTTCCACATTTCATTACTGCAATGCATTCTGTACAGTATCATTAGCCAGATGCCACAATGAACCGGTAATTAAAATTTACATCAAATTATTATTGCTATTTTACTTACGTGCGATAGGAAACCATACTGCTTTTTTTGTATCCATCTTAGATTTAAGTTTTTATACATTCTGTAAAACTCTGAACGTCATGCTGTTACCAGAGGCGTATGTAACAGCACTTGACCGGAGTTTAGGTGGAACTGTGTGCAAAATGGGCTCTGTGGGGAGGAAGAGGAGCTGAAAAACATGCAGCTTAGGAAGCCTGGGGTCCCACGCCACAGCCTACAGACAAGAGAGCAGCAGAGTCTGCAGCCCGAGGAAGAAGATTAAGTTTGGCTTAACGTATTGCAGCACCTTTCAGACTGGTGTCCTGCCCCAAGGATCCTGGACCCAGCCTTTATTCCCCTTCTACCACTGCAGCAGTGAACATCAGCCGGTCAAAATCAACAGGCACAAAACAGTTGTTGCAGAACACCTGCTAACCTGGAGAACTCGCAGCCACCAGTGTACTTCTACCAACGCATGCTCCTAAAAGAGACATACTTACACTAGAAGAGCATGGACTGCACCAGTGCAATTTACCAGAAGGTAAACTGAATCAATATACACCGTATCTATGACAAGGATTTGCAATAATTTCTAAAAAACCCAGGACAAAGTTCCATAAAATGCTAATTAAACAGGTTTCCCTACTGAACTGACAAGCAGCAGAATCGTACTTGGAAGACAGCTTGAGACCCATCATCTGTCACACCCATTACGTCTGGAAAAAATAATGGCCTTTTCAGAATGACTTTTTTTTCTTTCCACCATTTAAAAAAAAAAAAAAAAAAAAAAAAAAAAAAAAAAAAAAAAAAAAAAAAAAAAAAAAAAAAAAAAAAAAAAAAAAAAAAAAAAAAAAAAAAAAAATCAACCTGCTTCCCCAGACCTGATCTTCAGAAATGCTATCATCCTACTGATTTCAATATTGCACAGTATCACTAGAAATCGAGAATAGCGATTTCTAACTAATTTTATATGCCTATCCATACCAAGGTCAAAAATATTTTTAAGTACAGAGTATAAATAGCTAGCAATAACTATTCAAATCTTTAACCAAGCACTCAGTTTTGATCATTATTAGAATTGAAATAATAGGATCAACTTGCTTTATTTGTTTTTACATCCTGATATAACAGCGCAACACTTGAACTCAGAACAACTCTTCAAAAAGTTTATTTCAATTAGTTTTGTAACTTCTAAAGGAACCGGAAGGTCTGCATTAAACCTAGGTGTATTTCCATGTGCTAGCATCTCTTAAAAACTTTGCTATGATTTTACATTATATATAATTTAATAGTGATTATAGCGACTTACATGGGATAAACTCAAAAAGTTCCTGTATTGTTTCCTAAGGGAATCATACCCTTCCAAACATATTTTGACAATGGTTTCACATGTCATACTTCAAATCTTAATATAAATATCATAGGCTTAGAGTATCCACACTTCTATTATGATAATGAAAGTTACACTAATATATTAATAGCAGTCAGCTTTAATTCCAGTGCTTTCAGCTTTCCTCTATGACTGTGTTGTATTTGTAACTAAATTCTCTCTAGTTTGTTTAAACAGCAGCATGACCTTCACGTTGGACTATGTATGCATCAGATGAAAAATATCTGATCTGAGAAAAGAGATCAGAAAAGCAAACATATTGTTGTATAGCCTAGTGGTTAAGATAGTCAAGCTTGTATTTATGCAGGTCTGTCCTCCAATTAGGTTCATACATTAACTTAAATTAGCACCGATCATCAATGCAACTCCATTAGATAATGCGGATGGTAGAAAAGTCTTGTCCTTAAAGAGGAGGGCGCAGATTTGGCCATTATCTGCAACAAAGTGCAACAACTAAAAAAATATTATTATGCAACAAGGGTGAACCATTGGCAGCAACCAAGATTTGGGTTGGCACTGCCACAAGCTACAAAGCTTTCACAGGTAAGTTTGGCACTAGATACCAAAAAAGTTACGTTATGGCAGCTATGACTAACATGAAAAACCTAAGGGCTTGTGATGTAGCCTTTGAACTGTACTACAGCCTTACGGAGGATGTCTCAGATTGAGACTTGAAAATATCCTCAAACAAAAATCACCAGCCTCTCTAATTAAAGCATCTGTTTTATTATGAGGAAGTCTTTCTCGACAGTTTCTGTCTAGCACATAGGCCCCAAAAAACCTAGAAAACAAACTGTTTTCAGCAAAGAAAGTGGGTCACGAACAAGAGTCTACACCTAGCGTATGCTGATCTGCCATGTATACTCTTAACCTCAGACAGCAGATTTACGCACCCTTACACGTATTTCTATGTGCAGACACACTTCAACCAAACTACTTAGTCTAATACTTCAGAAGTCATGAATAATTTAAAAAAAATTCAGCTAAAGTACTCCAAGGTGTGCATTCACAACTTTCAGTACATTTAACTCTAATATGCAGCATTTGCCATTAAATAAAAGGTACCTTAGTAAGCAGGTTAAAGGACAACATACAACTGCTTTAAGTTAAAAACTCTAAGCACGTAACACTTCCTACAGGGGATTTCACCGATGTGCTATCAGTGTCTCACCAACAGAAACTACTTTGACTACTAGGAGAGAAGAGAAAAACAACAGTCCGAACTAACACGTCTTATCCCACGTTTATGCTCCCATCATACGCTTTATTAAGAGTCCAAAGCAAGAGTTACAGGCTCCGGGTGAGGGACACTGCAGAGGAGGGAAGCGCTCCCCTCCCACCGAAGCTGCCTCTCCTCGGGGCTCAGGGAACCTTTGGCGCCAAGCTCCGGCACGCAGCTCAGCCGCCCCCGGGCCGTGACAGGAACCGGCCACCCCGCCCCGCGCGAGGCCCGAGACCGTCCCCACGCGGCCCAGACCGGG